GTTTTATTGTAATTTGTCTTTTTAAATTATTTTGAGTCGATATTAAAATTTGGAAAAGGGGGGATACCTAGATCGGTAAAATACGCGAATTTCTTCCTACAACTTCGGTTGTTGTTCGGGGTACAGTTGAGGTTTTAACAAAGTTCGAGTGAATACATAATTACCAAAAAAAGTTGAAATAAAGTGATTAAACAAAAATTATTACAAATATCGTAAATAACAGTTCACAAATGCATATATAGAGAGATTTTTTTGAAGGGGGAAAATGGTCTTCACAATTTGAAATCTATCTAACACACAGTATAAACGTGCGCCATCTATCATAGGATAAATGTACTATGCCAGAAACCTTCGCAGGAGTATATTAAACAACTTCCCAAAGTTTCATGGCAATCGGATAAACGGTGTGGTAATGCATGAAGGACAGACAGACGAACAGACAGACAGACAGACATACATTCATTTTTATATTTANATTTTCATCGGGAAAACATTTCAAAGTGTCGTTTCAATTCTATTTATTTATTGGAGTGTTTGTGGATGCACGATATTTTTTTGTTTTTCCGTCTCGTGCATACACAAATAAATCAGAAGGTTTTCCGACACGTGAGCTGGCCATGTACAATTGTCCATGTGAGAAGCACGGATTCTCCAAATTTAACCCACACACTCACAGCGATTGTCAGAAGTGCGATATTCCCCATTTTTATATATATTTTTTAATCCTTTACAATTTTAATTATTTAATTGCTCCTTCCTCTCTTCCTTGGCANTTTCCTGGCTAGTTCCTGCTTGATTTTTCATGAGATCAGCATGTATCTTTTTAGCTTTCTTGCAAATAATTGCTTCTGATACGCTGTCTCCAGCACATTTTTTTTCAGTTATCCAAAGCAAAAGCAATTTCTTAACATGATCTAATGTCTTCAATCTCTGTTTAGAAATTGATTTAACCCCTTTCGCAACATTATCAGATTTAATAATGTCTTTATTTTTCACGATTGTCGATATCATCATTCTTGGAATACGGTATACAACAGTTAAACCTTGAACACACATGCCACCTTCATATTTCTCAACAATCTCTTTTATCAGTTCCATTGTGATTCTAGTAATTTTTTTAGTTTTCTGTTGCTTTTCAGTTGCCTTTTTGCAATTCATGATTAATAAAAATAATAAAATTTTACTTACAAATTAAAATCAGAAGAAATTTAACAAAGTTATAAACCG